TCAAGGACAGCTGAAGCGTGGATGAAGGAATTGAAATAGCCTCTAGATCTCCTATGCAATCTTTGGAGAAAATTAGAGACAATTTCGTCCCGGAGAAGCGCGATTCAAGTCCAAAGAGGGGAATAGACGACCATTCAAAGCTCAGGCCAATACTGAGTTCGTCGGTCCTTGGCATAAGCTGAAGTAGCATTGTGATTATCATATCTATTTGTTCCGTTGTCTCCTCCTCTGACCGCACGGGGCGCGGGTTGAGCCCAGGAACGTCGTATTCGTGTATGTATACATCCAGCTCGCGTACATTGAGATTTGGGGATAAAGCAGACTCGAACGAAATCATATCGTTTTTATTCATCCCATAACTGATGTAGACGTAATCCAAACATTTGAGGTGATGAAGGACGGTGACGATGAAGGTTAAAGTCTCCATATTAACGTTCATTTCTAACCGAGTCAATGATGAGAGCCGACACAGTATGGACAGTGGAAAACAACCAAAATATGCATCGCAATACAAATTGGTCCAAGGAAGTTCATAAATAGGTGTAGTTTCAGTTTCCTCCATGTCGTATTCGGATAACGAACTACTTGAATAATAAAAAGTGACTTTTTTCAGAGAAACCATTGTCTCCAATATAGGTAATAAATTCCGCGCGGCTTCGAAGGTGACGAGGGTCTCTAATTCCACCCTACCTTTCACAAGTTGGAGGTCGTGGCAGGTAAGTGAGTTACTTGTGAGGTACTTCAAAGATGGATATCTATTCAAGAGCTCTTGCAGATCATAGGAACTTTCATCCCTATTTGTGGGTGAAATCGTAAGGCGTTGCAAATTTGGAAGGATGCCTAAATCATCCAGAAATTCCCGCACATCTTCATGATATTTACCGCCATCACTATATTGGCTGTCCACACCGGGACGGATGGAGATTGTGTTTACTCTGGATCTATTGTTGCCAAGAATGACGAGGATGGACTCCCGGGACCAAACTGGGAACCAGATTTCGATCGTGAGGGGGAGGTCGCGGGAAAGACAGGTATGGAGTGATAGAATGGTGACTTCATCACAGTAGTTGAATAGGCGGATATGATTCCACAAGCCCGGCTCGGACAGCATGAAGTTACCCCACTTCCTCGACACCAATGTGAGTCGCAGGAAGTGAAAAGGTGGATCTTCCGAGGACATGACCAGAATCTCGGTTAAAATCTCGTTAGGTAGTATGTCCATCGGATCCAACCGTGGACCCGGCTGTCGTTCATAAAGAATATTCATGACTTGATTGTACGACAGTTTCTTTTCTCGAAGATCTCCTCTTGGTCTATTTTGGTGCATTGAATTGGATATATCGTCTTGTAGTTGTTGCAGATATGTCGCCAGCTGGGCTTCATCCATACTTGCCACGCTTCGTTCCTGGGCGCTAGCTGAAGGATTTTTATCTACAAATGACATTTTTCCGTCTTTTCGACTATATCGCTGACTGAAAGAATAAGAGTGCGACCTGATGCCACTGAGGGGGGGGGCGTAGTCGAGAGAAAGGAGCACTTCTCGCTGTAAGGCGTAAATGGTGAGGTGTAAATGATTCGCTTGTTGACTCTGTACAACTCTCGATGTCCCATGATGTTGCCACCAAAAACGAGATCAATAATAATCACATGGAAGCGCTTAGGTTTATGAGTTCAATCAGATGGCAAAGCGAGCGGGGAGTGTATTCGTTGACACATGGGCTAGTCTAAAATACATATGAGTGGTGAAGGATAAACCTATTGATCGTAAATGTGTTGATATATCGTGGATAAATTACTGTTATGAGATGAGTGGTGAAATGTGACTTGAGAATAAGGCAACGCTCTCCGCTCAGAAACTTTGATCTAATCCGATGAAAGAAATGCGACATCTTCATCCTTGCGCTTCCTAAACAGCATCTCTGCCTTAGTGTTTGGGAGGCAGCCTCCACCGAGTTCGAGGTCCTTGGGTCTGGTCTTTGTGGTGCCAGCTTTCCCCGTGGGTAAGTTCGCGTTAGCTTTCATGGCAGCAGCCGCAGTCGCATCGGTGAACTTGAACTCGTAGAATATGAGGACGTAGGCGAGGAGGTGTTTCACGATCATGGACGCATACCATCTCCCGGGGCTGAACCGTCGAGTTGGTGCCGTGGTATGAGTGAAGGTTGGGTGACGATTGCGACGATCAATTCTATCAGAGTTGTATTTGTAGACAGTATGGATCTGGACATACCAAGCGTGCTTGCCCAATCCCCAAGCCAAGTAGTCATGACTCGGCGTGATCATGTCGTACTTGTGGGACGTATGGACTGCTCTTTCGGCTTCTCCGAGCTCGTAGAAACGGAACGGCCTAAACTCAAGAGCGTCTGCATAGACATCTGGGTCTTGGTGCAGGGCATTGCCGACAGCCGCAACGGTTTCTCCTTTGGGAACGCGAACGCCGTTGGAAAAGGTGAAGTCTTGTAATGCGAGACGTATCATGGATGCTGAATTGAGGTGAGAGTCAGCATAAATACAATGAAACCCTGGGTAGGAGTGAAAGAAGGCGGCGGAATCTGGCGTACCATTCTGGATACCGGAAAGACGCTGCGTTTCACGAACAAAGCTATCCAACTTCCGCATCCTATCCAGAGATTCCTTCGTCCAG